CTCTCGATATAATCAAAATAACCTTAATATAATGAATGTCAATGAAATGATTGTAAACACAACAAATTTAAGGTACATGATTGAGACGAAAGATGAACAATGTATGAAAAATCAAACAAATTTATTTAATAAAGACAAAATTTACAACCCAAAGAATTTTTTTTGCATGTTCTAATAAATTTCCATTGTTGTTGCATCATCTGTTGCTGATTCAACATTACCCAAATCATCATCAACTGTATTTTCGTTATTTTCGATAAATTGATTTTCATTTAATATTTTCACCATACTTTCTTTTAGTGCGTTGACATTTTTTTTGATTTCGACTTGAAGATATCAAACATTTAGATTGGCACCTTTGTAGACAATGATTGTGATAACATGAGTACACTACAATTATTCAAATTAGTATATATAGTTAGTGTAATCACAATATACGTAATTGCAAAAAATATTTGTAGATGATTCCCTAGAAGTAACAAAGTTTTAGTAATTAAAGGATACTGATTTTGTGCTTGATATACTGGTAGCATCACATTGTCTCTGGATGTGAATCTATGATAATCGTCAACATTCAACAAGAATGTACTTTTTGAATATTTTGTAAGTGCATTTTCTACAGATTTCTCATGTTCATCTGCAACTTGCTTTTTTTCACGATCTACTGCTCTTGATGTTGTAGTTGCTCCAAGACTTGTATTTACCGAGTCTAAATAGAATGCAAGGTCGAACTTAAAAGAGTTAATTTTTGTATTATTTAATAAAACAAGAAGATAACATATGAACACCACCATTAATCTCTTCATATGGTCCATTCTTTGTTCATTATGTTCAAATGGCCGAGCTGCTAAATAGAGTTGTCAAAAAACCCCTTCAAGCTTGGTTCTATTTCTTGGAGCAATCTTTGTATTTCATCAAAATCGTATATAGGACCTTGATGGCTCTAGTGAAATCAATCTTTTCATTTACCTCTTCCTCTTCTGCATCTGTGGTTTTTACTCTCCTAGGTTCTCTTTTTAAAGGATTTTCTACAAAATTCATATAACAAATGTTACATAAAACAACACGTTACCTTCAGTAAGTTGTTGTTCTCAGCTTCTTTCCATTTATTGCCTTTTGTTGACGAAATTTAGCTGAATCAGTGGTTTTACATTCTGTGCAATGTTTAATTTCATGCAATTTTTCTTCAAGTAAATCGTATTATGAAAGTTGTGGGATTCAAAGGGATTCAAAAGATATGATAACAACAAAGTGTAAAGCTTCAAGTTTGTGTAATTATTTACACATGATTTATTGTAAGAATGGGCTACATGATACCCTTTTAAAAGTATTTTAAACTGTATAAAAAAAATTGAAATCAATTGTGAAAATCCATTCCTTATATAGGAAGTTCTCTCCTGTTTATACTTGTACACGATCAAATTTTTTGCTGATCTTTTCTATATATAAAGGGCATGCAACTTTTTAATTATCTTGTGAAGTTATTTCTCATTTTTCCAATTCTTGGTATTTGTATGGGTGAACAATGCATTTTTGAAGTATTTCGTGGTAAGGTTGATTATGCTGGTGAAATAGTTCATGGTAAAACATCTACTATTAAACATGACAGTGTTGAATTGTTTATAAATATGCCAAAGGAAATATCTGCTACCAGATATCATTCTTTAGCTGCTCAACCAAGCACAATTCTTGATGAATTGATGTCAACTTGTTGGAGTGATACTAAGGTTTTAATGGGCGTAAGACATTGTGAATTCACCATTTAAGGAATTCAATTTCATCCAGAATGCATTCTTAGCAAACATGGAAAAATCCTGCTTGGAAATTTTTTGAATCTTAAAGGTGGAGGGAGCATGGGATGAAAACCCAGAGTTTAAGGTAAAATCTCCATTAGCAAAAACCAAAGTTAAAGAAGACTCAGTTTCCAGCATATTAGAAAAAATAGTCCTACAAAGATACAATGATGTTGAAGCAGCCAAAAAACAACCAGGATCATCACCATACAATTTGAAAAGATTATTATTGCTTCATATAGCTCCACCTTTAATATATTTTTCTGCCAGACTTAGACAAACCTTGCCAAAATATCCAGCAATAATGGCAGAAGTTAAAAGAGTCTCACATAGTAAGGGGAACATTGACCTTACAGTAAATGCAGCAGAGCAAGCACTTATTTATGCAAAAGCTGGTGTGTCTGTCATTTCTGTATTGACAGAACCAAAATGGTTTAAAGGATCATTGGATGACATGAGACAAGCCCATGATATTTTATCTAGTATTCCAAACAGACCAGCTGTTCTACAAAAAGATTTTATTATTGATACTTATCAGATAATGAAAGCTAGAATATATGGTACAGATACTGTGTTATTAATAGCTGCCATATTAGATGATGAAAAATTAGCAAAATTATATAACTTTGCAAAATCTCTTGGGATGGAACCGTTGGTAGAAGTTAACAGCAAAGAAGAGATGACAAGGGCAATCAAATTAGGAGCAAAGGTTATTGGGGTAATAATTGTAACTTGCATACATTTGAGGTTGATCTATCTACAACCTCACAATTGGCCAAAATGGTACATGAAGGTGTAACTTTAGTGGAATTAATAGCAGGGCAGATGTGACTGGATATATAGAACAAGGTATTGGTGCTTTATTAATAGGTAAGGCAATGATGAAAGCTCAAGATAAAAAGGCTTTTATTGATGAAATATTAGGAATCAAAAAGGTAGAAACTAAACCTACTATTACCAAGTCTCCCATCAAACCATTGGTGAAAATATGTAGTATAAATACAATTGATGCAGCAATCACAGTTACAGAATTGGGTGCAGACCTTATAGGAGTGATATTTGCCAAAGATTCAAGAAGAAAAGTAACACTTGATCTATCTTTGGAAATAGTTAATGTTATTTGTGAAATGCAATCTGATGATTCTAATAACATTAAAAAGGAAGATGGGGAAAGTGAGGAAAATATAAATGATTTGGAAAACTTACCAAGTAATTATGACTGGTTTAGGTCACATGCAGATACAATCTACACATCTAAAAAACCATCAACAATGGGGGTTTTTCAGGATCAGTCTGTTGAATACATCACAATAATTGTATAATACTTAACTTGATTTAATCCAGTTACATGGAAACGAGCTACTTGATATGCTGAAATTCTTACCTAGGCCAGTAATTAAAGCATTTCATATTGATGAACATTTTTGTGCTCCAACACTAATCACACAAATAAAAAATAATAAAGATGCTGGTCAAACTCACGAAGGAGGGAATAAGTTTTGATTGGAATATAGCATTAAAGATTAAAAACAGTATTAAAAATTCAAAAACTGGTAAAGTCAATGACAAATTTCCAATAATTTTGGCAGGAGGATTGAATCCTGAAAATGTAAAGGAGGCAATTGAAAAGGTAAAACCTTGGTGTGTTGATGTGTCAAGTGGAGTGGAAACAGATCAACAAAAGAACAATGATAAAATCAAAGAATTTATTCAAAGGGCCAAATCAATTATTTATAAAGATGAGATTATTGAAACAGAAGAGAAAAGTCAAGATTATGAAAAGCAAAATGGAAAATCAATCAATGAAAAGTCAAATGGAAAATTGATCAATGAAGATGAATTTTATGATGAAGATGAGGATGATGATGAGTATAAAGAAACTGGCATAGCGAAATAAATAGTACTATGTAATATTTATAATGATATAATAGATTATATAGTCTTGATATATAAATATTTATTTAATAATTTATTTATTTATTTATTTTATTTATTTTATAATATAGAAAGAAATAATAATTTTTTTTTGTTATTTATTTAAATTCATTTTTCATTTCCCTTAATTTTTTCATTATTTCTATTGGATCTTGACCACCAGCAACTTTTTTCATGTCTTCATGTTCAACTCTCATGAAAGGATTAAACTTAAATTCATCACCAATAGTACTAGGCACTGTAATTTTGTTTTGAGCAGCCCATTCATATTTTTCTAAGAGTGTTTTGTTATTGGGATCAATTGATTTTGCAAACCTTAAATTTGAAGTAGTATACTCATGTCCACAATATACTTTGGTATCAGATGGTAAAACACCCAAAGTTTTAATTAATGAATTGTACATTTGTTCTGCTGTTCCTTCAAAAAATTTACCACAACCTCCTATAAACAAAGTGTCACCTATAATAAGTAGTATTAGTATTATGCTATGTTGTTAGATGAAGTTTTTAATAAAAAAGAAAACTATAATAATAAAAATAATTGATAAAATAATTACCAGTAAAAACTGCTTTATCATCACCATCTTGAACATAAAAACTTACGCTACCACTTGTATGACAAGGTGTAAATAATGCTTTGCACTGAATTTTTTCTCCAATTTTAAACTCTTCTTCATTTTTTACAGGATGATTTAGTTCAGGTATACGTTCATCACTACCATACACAGTCAAACCTTTTACCAACTTTACCATTTCTTTATTTCCACCTGAATGATCCTATAAAAAAAAAATATCAATGATTTGAATTTTAAACACATTAATTAATTAATATATATAAATAAAAGAAATGTACATGATGATGATGAGTCGTGATCAAATGTTTCAATTTGACTTTATTATCTTCAATAACTGGTAAAATTTTTGATGGTTCAACTGGATCAACTATTGCTCCTTTATTTTTATTTTTATTTTTTTTTGTAGTTGAGAAAAAGATAACGATTAAATCATGATTAAATGATATATATGATATATGATATTTAATTTTAATTGATTAATCAACTTACCTTCATTTGTCTTCTCATCAATAACCAAATAAGAATAGTTATCATCCAATACTAAAAAATAATTTAATATCCATCAAACATATATGGTAAAATGATTTTTATCAAAAAAATTTTATTGATATTTACCTGGAATGGGGATTATTTTCATTTTGTTAGAAAAGCTCTTTTTTTAAAGATTTTGAAAATCATGTATGGATGGGAATAATTTAAATAATTTGTACATCAATTCCAAAAAAAATAAAAATAAAAAAATAAACCTGATGAAAAGATCTTTTATAGCAGTGATCATATGTTCTTTTAAATAATACTGCTGACGAAACCAATTTGTTTTTTCTCGACATTTCTTAAATTTCAAATCATGTTCCTTGTAACACATAACAATTTACATGAAAAGAACAAGTCTATCTAATTAATGTTTTGTAGTGATGACGAGAAAGGTGTCGATGACGCCCCTTTATCTTCAAAAGACAAATTCTCTTCTAAAGTTATGTGTCCTATTTATTTACAAGATTTTGACTTTTTTCAATTTTATTATACTTTTCTATTACTATATATGTTTTATTACCTAAAAGATAATACTAATTCAACGATAAAATTATATATTTATGTACACACTTCAACCTCCTTTTATAAAGAAAATGATATAACAAGTATTTGATTCAATTATCAACTGAATTGCTTTTTAATTATAAGGAATTAAAGAAAGTTCAAACATACAATAAAGTAATATCCTCATCACCTTCCACAAAATATCATTAAAATAATTTCATAAAGATTATGTTTTTTTTTAATTGTCAATAATCATTTTCCCCCATCTCCTTTATTTCCATTTACCATTTTTATCTACTAATCCTGATGATGATAATAATTTTGTTTGTTCCTAATTTGGAATTAACATTATTAGTAAATGTAGTATTATGAATTGATCATGGATGTCATTATCTTTTGGCCTCCAACTGATTCTCAAGAGAAAAATTTGATATTTGAGACGCATTTCACCGAATCCTGTAATTTCATTACACTTTTTTAATTTCGAATAAAAGTCAACTACTGAATCATAGTCTAAACTACAATTCCAAGCCATGAATTTTTTGAAAAATTTCATTGACTTTTGCCTTAAAACTTTATGCACTTTCTCTTCCTGGCTCAAATACAATTTACATAACTAGCATATACTTCGGAAACCTGCTAATTTGCTTTTTCATCTGGAACACGTTTTTTTGCAACATATCAGACATGATCATCTGGGTTCCTTTTTCGTTGTAGTGTCTTCAGATATCCTACGTATGACGCTCCAAACTTATCATATTTTTTTTGTATCTTGGTTGTGATCATCTGGGTTCCTTTTTCGTTGTAGTGTCTTCAGATATCCTACGTATGACGCTCCAAACTTATCATATTTTTTTTGTATCTTGGTTGTATGCTTACATCAATTACCTTAATTATGCTGATTCTATATTTCTGTGATATACCATTTTTAGGACTTTTGTTTAAATAAAAATTAATTGTTTCGCCTACCCCTATTGTCTGATTTAAAAATTCGATACTATTTAGCATGCTTGGTGCAATTATTTATATAACTCTGGAAAATTTGGTGAATGTAGATTCTGACGATCTGAACACTGGAGATCCAAAAGGCATTTCCTTGTAAAGTTTGTGGCAAGTCAACTACTTCTGCACCTAAATTATGTAATGCTTGGTGCAATTATTTATATAACTCTGGAAAATTTGGTGAATGTAGATTCTGACGATCTGAACACTGGAGATCCAAAAGGCATTTCCTTGTAAAGTTTGTGGCAAGTCAACTACTTCTGCACCTAAATTATGTAAAAATCATGCGGATGGACATTATGTTATGAATACTATGCTTGCCTCTTGCCTTCTCAGACAACATTCGAATGTCGTGTAATTCAAAAAGTCTGTTCACACCCCCCCCTTTGAAACTGACGGACCATTCACAGATAACAAGTCATTCGAATGACATACAGAATTCGATTAAACTGCAAGAAAATATACATTTTTTTCAAGATATTTTGATGAGCGTGCAAAATTCGATTGAACTTCAAGAAAATGTCCGTATTTTTCATTCGAATGACGATCAAAATAAAATTTGTGCCTTTCGAATGAGAAAACTGACGACACAGTCAAATATTAACTGCCGTTTGAGTGACGATCAAAAATGAAATTTCATCTTGAGCGTGCAGAATTCGATTGAACTTCAAGAAAATTGACGACACAAGCAAGCATCAATCGTCATTCAAATGACACAAATCCCGAGGATGACGATTGTCACGAGATGCAAGCAAGCTCTCTGCTAGATAATTAATTACCAAGATAATTATGGTGATTAACAATAATAATAATAAAGTAATCAAAGCGAGGAAAACTTAAAGTTCTGTTTTTTTTTCCTTAATAACAGAACCTCTAAAATAAAAATGACTCCTATTACAATTACTATAAGATAAAGCTCTTTAAAAAATAATTTCTCTAAACTAGTAACTCTTAAAAACACCTTTTAAGCAATAATATGATGTTACTCATCATTAGTAGGCCAAAACAAATCGATGATGTAAAGACTATAGTGCAAGTCACTTAGTCGCTGAACTTTTTGTGCTACACCGCCATTTTTTTGAGAAAAAAATTTCCAATCAAAAATGCAATAAAATTTGTATGGTCACGTGCTTTTTAAGATTGTCAAATGCAGAATTTTATCCAAATCATATTAATATAAACATGTGTATATCATTATTACATTGTAAAAATCAAATCACAAATACTTGCTCAACCCTTGCAATTTTTTGG